GGCAAACTCAAGCACAATCCAAAGGACAAGTTAAACACGTTAGTTATTTGTAGGTTAAGATGTCACGATAATCACTGAGGCCTCACCAAGATTATCTGCTCCTCGTGGAATAATGACATCTGCATACTTCTTCGTCTGGTAGAAATAAGAAATGTTCTTATGATTAAATACAGCAGCTCAAAACCATTATAATATGGAACAATTCTTTATTCTAAACAAGTACAAGCACACAGCGCTCTCTAGTGGGCAAATATTTCTTGTTACCAAAAAAATAATTGCCTGTATCAGTGTTAAAACTAGAATGGTGTCAGTCCTGGTTTAGTGTCTCAACAAGACAGGAGCACTCACAGGTAAACAGAACTCCTCGAAGGCCGGCTTCACAAAAGTGATGTACTGACTGAGCACTTGCTCCAGGTCTCTGCCACGTTCACTGATGTCTCTCAGAACTGAAATAGAGACATGTTTTACATTTAGACATGAAAAACAAAAGTACACCAATGTAAAAAAAGAAACAAGAAACAGAAACACAACACAACACACACACACACTATGTGATGATAACAGACTGTCCAAATGTACTTTTGAAAACCAAAAGCACTTTAACAGTGCACTTAAGTGACAATCGTTACACTAGTGAGTAGCAACCCAAATCACGCTATACACCTCGACGCGACAGCCGTGTGTCGGGATCTGTGTCAACAAACAGCTTCATCTGGAACAGATCTCTGATTTCCTGCGAGTAGAACATGAGGATGCCCTCAAACAGGACCACATCAGCCGGATACACCATAACAAACTCGTCTTTCCTGAAACACACAGAAAGGTGCCTCTTCTCTGTGAGCGACTGCATTTACACGCGTGTCAAAACAAATTTAAGCATATTACACAATCGAAGTTACACATCAAATGCTTTATTTGTTTAACTGCATAAAGCCTCTGTTGTGCTTCTATGATCACATGATGAATTGTGGCCAAATTAAACAGCATGGTAAACAAAGAGGCATTCACCTGGAATGAGTGACAAAGTCATAAACTGGGATCTGGACCGTTTTCCCCTGAAGGATCTGTCTCAGTGTTTGTATGATCAGCTCGCTGTCAAAGGCATCTGAGGTCAAGAAAGGGAAAACCGAAAAATGCTCAGTTACAATTGGTCACACTTAACCTCCATCACTACAGCTCAATGTGCACCCACAGACACGTGGCACCGCTCCCCGCACGTTTGGTAACCCAGGAATCGCTTTCGTATAACATGTGTTGTGTTCAGTCTGAGCCTGGCAGCAGCTGCCTGAGGACGGCTTGCTGATGGTGCAGATTTAAAATCAGCCCAGAAAGGAAGCGAGGGTGAAAAGCCTGACTCCAAAAATGGACTCCAAAAGTTCTGTGTATTGCTGCCACTGTTAGGTGTCATTTAACATATTTTATCCTCCAATTGTTTAACCGTAATCCACTTTGGACTGCATGTGCACATGAAAGATGCCATTTAGTTAATACAATAAGCCAGGTAAAATGACCTAGCCACTAAAACCTGTAACATGTAGCAAAGATTTAACGTGCATCATACCTGGATGATCAAAGTTAAACTGGCCCTTGAGTGCCTTGGCTTTCTGCTCAGGAGTCAGCACCTTGTAAAAGCTGTCCTGGCTGAGGATCGCCACCTGCCGCTGATGGTGGTCAATCTTGTTCTGTCCCAGGAGCTCCATGATCTTCTCACACACAGACGACTGTGGAAATGATCAAGAACATGACTGTCAGGAGAGTGCACCAATAGGACTACTGAATACCAGTATCGGCCAAACATCAGCATGCTACATCCCATGTGGGCTAAATATCAACCCACATAGATTAAGATTTTAACCTAGAAATAATCTGGGTGAGTAAACATCCTGCATCACATTTGCAAACTGCTATAGGCAAACTGCCCTGTGGCCAACCTTTTTTGTCCTCACTGACCTCCCAAACTAAAAGAATCTCATGCCCAATGCTGACAGGGCATTCCCCCACTGCCTGAGGCTCTGCTTCCTTTTGTACCCATTACACTGTGCTACAACGAATTTAAACAGCTTCACACCAGAGCTGGAAGCTTGGGTCAACGCCCTCAAATGGGGTAGTTTCTGATAAAATGGACAAACTTTGAATGTACCCTTGAGCCACCCCAGTGACACAGCATCACTTTTGAAGCTCTAACTTCTAAGTTTAGCCCTCTTGGAGAAATTCAAAATAAACTTTTTAAATACACTAAAGGGAAGACGTTTTACTTTTAAATATTAAGGGTATGTATATAATTTTATATATATATATTTTTTAGTATTAATGTTTGTTTGTTTTTTAAAGAAAAATCATATTCATTATTTTGTTTCCATTACAGGCAGGGGGAGACCTTCAGCAGTAAGGCTAATGAATATGAAACAAAACTGGTATGCTTCTAAATATACCAAACGCGGAACATGACATCACTCACACCCCGAGCAGCGTCAAACCGGAAACTGACAGGAAAACACTGACATAATGCCAATAACAGATGATACGGTTTAAAGAGCCAGAAAGAGGGCCCAAAGGAGATGAATGTACGACGGGATCACAACAAAGCCGCGAAAAGTAACATTCACCACCAATTTAGTATTGTTTACCTTGACTAACCTTCGCATTTAGCTAGTCTGTTATGTGAACTTTGATCACTGGTTTAATTCAAGGGGAGTTTTTTCCCCCCAGCCGCCCACGGTTTAAAAAAAAAAAACAACCTAAAATTCATAACAAAGAAATGTGACGACGTGTTTGGAGAAATAGCCACGTCTGTGTTTAAGAGTCAGCGCCACCGTGTGCGTTGGCAAGTTTAGCTCTGCCCACGCGGGTGCTTCTTTGTGCGAGGCTTTTAATGCAACTCGGTCAAATTAAAATAGAATACAATAAGCTAAGCTAATACTTCTTGAATCGACGTGTGTGTGTGTGTGTATGTATATGTATATATATATAAATTTTTAAAAAGGCATCTAAGGTTTCACATATTAAGGAGAGATGAGCGACATCTTTTTCCACAGTGATTTCCACATATTATTATCCAGTAAGCCACCATGTAGGTTACCGTTATTTAACGTTAGCAGTTATCCCGGGTCAAAGGGGAAAAAATCTGACGTCAAACAACGAGTACTATCAATTTAACGCTGCTAAAATATTATTCATTTGACAGATATGTGGCTCACACTGTTTACAAACACAGCCCACCTAGCTTAGAGTTAAGTTAGCACTAGCTATTGTCTTAGATCTCCCGGCACTGCTAGCATGTGATGGAATTTATCGTTAGCTCGGGGGCTAACTAAGCTAACATTATTACCATCCATTGTCATTTTAGTTTATCATTATCATTATTATTTCCGTCACAAAAAAGAAGAATATTGGACCAACTAAAGTCAGCGTTCAGCACCACAGACAGAGCACCAGTGCGCTAAACTATTGTGAACTGTCAATCAAGCCTCACTGCTGCGTCGCTGAAGCCACGCGGTCAGCCGGCGAACTCAGCTGCGAGCATCAGCCGTCAATTAACTCAAAATTCTCAACGTGTCACTACGTGAAACCCGTCAAATTAGCTCACTAGAACGCTAACCTTGCCGCTGGCAGTGCCACCGGAGACACCGATGAGGAAAGGTTGCCGAACAACCTGGGTGTTCTCGCCGCGGTCCCCTAAATGTGTCTCACTGTCTCCAGCCATACTTGTAATGTGCTCCTCCAGCCGCTGAGCTGGAACGTCGTTATGATGTAGCTCCTCCCACAACGCTGCCCTTTATTTTAAACAACTGCAATTTTAATTATATATTTTTATTTGCTTGTATTTATTAAGAAAGTTTTACAGCCATGCAATAGTTACTGACGTTTAATTATGTTTAACATATGAGAGTATATTCGTAAAGCCGCTTTAAGTGATCGACAGTGAAACTATCCAATCGTATAGTACGTTCAGACGCCACTGGCCTGTTAGCGCCGATTGGCTTTCGGCTGCAATTTGGCCCGCCCCTTGGTGAATCGTCAGAAAAGTACCGTTGTAATGGCAACTAAACACGATATTCTCAATTGAGTTGAGATTGGACTCTTCGAAAACAAATTAAACGTCTTATAGGTATGTTTTCTCAAAACTTAAATCCAATAATGACATTTTAAAAGTGACAGTAAAGTGAAAGAGTCGTTAGCACATAACTGTTTGGCGGAGTTGCTTGTAATCGAGTCAGACTCCTTTTTAGATTTTCCAGCGTTATCGGTATAGTGACGTTAACCCGCATACTGCATGTTTTACAGTCATCAGTGACACTTGAAGCTACGGGACGAGCTCCAATATGCTCCGGAGACTCGCTAGTCTCCCTCTGCGGCGGCCTGCAGCTGCTCTTCTGGCTGCTGGAGTGAGGTGCATCTCCTCCGGCTCGGTGGAGATCACCCTCCCGCTTAACTTCTGGGCTGGGAAGAGGAGGACAGGCCCTGAGAAATGCAGCAAGGACATTGTTTACGAACCTGCAACCGGTAAAACACACAGCTCGTAAATACTGAAAAAAAAGTACTGACCCTGCCTTATCACCGGACTTTGGCCATTGCTGTGTGAATATGTATGTCTGGTAATCTTTAGTAGGGGAAATGATTTCAACGTTACTTTCTGAATGATTAAAGTCTTTTTGTCAAATACACCTCTAAACTTGGTAACTAGTTTTTCAATAAAAGTAAACTTTCTACACATGTTGATTGATATACTGTATCCAGTTAGTCACAGCTATAGACCAGCAGTCCTTTATGGACAGTGTTATCTCTGCACAGCTTCATTGGAGCAGAACCAAGACATGAGAGCACATCATTATCAGTTAATGATGCCTGATAGTCAGCCTGCTGCTCCGTGCATTACACATTTTTAGTCCAATTATATTCTGATGCTCTTTGAGGCCCGGTCCCTGTTTTTAATTCAACTCCATCTGAGCCAGCACAGAGCCTGCATGCAGCCCCACCATTTATGCATGGAGCTCTTTATCTAATCACAGTTACCATCACTGAAAATGACATTTCCAGCTCTAAAGTGTAAGCGAGCCACAAAATTCACAGCACAGTTGCCTGTAGCTGCTGTAGGCCGATAATTATTTTTCCTTCACATCAAAGAACGACTGGAATCATAGAGATGACTGTGCCAAATGGAAACTGTGTGCAACCTGTTGTTTTCATGAAAGTCTGCCTACTTGGACGCTTGAGCTATCTTACATTCCATGTTGTAGGCCGTGTCCTGTGCCAGTTGGAGCCTTGTGGTGCTGTGGAGGTGGATCAAGCTGTGAAGGCTGCCAAACTGGCTTTCGGTTATTGGAGCAAAATGTCGGGGATGGAGAGGGCAAGGGTCATGATAGAAGCTGCACATATAATTGAGGTGTTTGTTGTTTATATGTTTTTGTTTTGTTTTTTAGAATGAAGAACAGCTCAACAAAGTTGTTGTTATATCTTGCAAAAGGAAGATCTCATGAGTCATCTAATATATTAGATTGCATATGCCCTGATTTTAATGCACAGAGCAAAAGAGAGGAAATAGCTGAAATGGAGGTGGTCAATAATGGGAAGTCCATCACAGAGGCCCGTCTGGATGTGGACTCTGCCAGACTGTGTATAGAGTACTATGCAGGACTGGCCAGCACTTTAGCAGGTTGGTATAGCTATCGTATATTTTTGCCATATTTATATGGCTTTATAAATGTCACGTCAGCCTTTGTTTTACCTTGTCAATGCTTCTGTTTTCCTTTATCAAGGCCAGCATGTCCAGTTGCCTGGGGGATCCTTTGCATACACTCGCAGAGAGCCGCTGGGAGTCTGTGTTGGCATCGGTGCTTGGAATTATCCCTTTCAGATCGCTGCCTGGAAGTCTGCTCCAGCCCTGGCCTGCGGTATGGGTTTCTTCCACGACCAAAACACCAGTGGCCTTTGTTGGTTTGCTACATTTAAGAAAATCTCTTTAAACTCCTGGAAAATGAATCAGTACATTTTCTTAAGAAGTTAGACTGTTTTAAATGCACTTTCGAACAGCACCCAGCAACACTACATATGAGCGGGCGGAGGGAGGTTTGGGGTCCTCACTCACTCCCGTTCTGTTAACCTTTGGGGCTGGGGGGCTGGGAGAAGGTGCTGGCCGTCAGATTGGGGTCTGGGATGCGGGGCCTCTCTCTCTCTACTGCAGATAAGGAGGCGGTCTGCTTTGCTCCACCCCAGAGAGAAGGGTTACATTTCCTTGGTCCAGGTATGGTTTGCCCCTCTGGGGGCAGGGGTACCCAGACCTGGGATATAGAGTATGTTTGGGGAGTGTGAATGTGTGTACAGTGTCTATTTGTGTCTGTCCCCACGTCGGATGAGTGCCGAGTATTTGATTGTGTATATGGGGGTGGGAATGCACGTTTGTGTCTGCGTGCGCCTGTTCATCTGTGTCTATATGTCAGCTTGGGTCTTAGACTCCACCTCTCTGGGAACATCTCAGGTTCTCCGAGGTATGGAGGCCTATCTCCCCTCACCACACTCCCTACCAGTGGCTGATGCCCTCAGACGATGGTGGTTCTTGGTGTCTGGGGCTGGGCGCTCATGTATGTACCGACTCACTCCTGGTGTCTGATTGGCGGGGCCTGGCGCCTGTGGCCCAGCTGGGCCCCTTCCGGGGGGTGGGGTGCCCTCAGGTCTCTGGCATCTGGGCCTGAGGCTCAGTCCTCTCTGGCACAGCTGGCTGCCAGCAGAGCCCACAGGCACATCACTGCAACCCCCTCTGGCCTTTGCTCCGTGACCTCTCGTTTGGGGCTCTCCTCAGCTCTTCCCAGGAGGGTGGCGCGGTTGCTCCTGTGGTGCTCCTCCTTGGGTCCTCGTACTCTGGGGCCTCTGGATGTCTGGGGCCTGGATCTCCTCCATACCTGCTTCATGCCCTGGGGGACGGGGCTGTGGCTCCCCACACTCCCTAGCAGATTGTTACATGGAGAAACCTTTTGAATACAAGCGTGCTGATCCACACAGGTGTACACACGGGTGTTCACAAACACAAACTACACCTTTCTTGGCTGCTACCTCAAAGCACATTGTGCACTGTCGATCTTGCGTGCTGCACAATAACATGTAATATTTAGTATCTACTGTTATCTACTATTAGCTAGTTTATTGTGATGGTGGTGTATTTATTATGTTGCTCTGTTTTGTTTGTTTTCTCTTCTCTTCTCTTCTGTTTTTTTTTTTTTTTATCTCCATACAGGTGATCCAGGTGTTTTGTTTGGTTTTTCTTTCTTTTTTCTTCCCCCCTTTCTCACCGTCTCTTCTCCCCTCTATTTTTCTTTCTCTCCCTCTCTTTCTATCATTCTCTCTCCCTGTCCTATCCCCCAGTCATGTCTGTCCCGTCTGTAACAACCAAAAATAAAATAAAATAAATACATAATTATAATAAAGGTCAATCAAATGGACCAATATGGCAAGGCCATGATGATCCACTTGGTAAAGTAAATCCGTTTGGCATCTTTCTTGGCCTGCAGACAACAATTCTCACGGCTAAAGATCCAAATGGGACAGGCAAAAAAACAAAAGTTAGACTGTGGGGTGAGGAAAGGGCATCTGAAGATAGGATAACTGCACGTTCTAGCAAATGAACAGCAAGACTATGTTTTGTAAGGTCACTTGACATAAACTGCTGTGCTACTAAAACTAAAATGTGGGCGTTACCATCTTTAAATGTCAGCAATTCATTTGAGCACAAAACAGTTCAGAAAATAATTACAGCATTTCACCTTTAGAGAGCATTCCACAGAGACTGATACAACTGAATGTGCAGACTTATTAAAAGAATTCAAACAATCCATGTTTTTCTTTGTCATCTTTTCTCCATATTAGGTAACTCCATGGTGTTTAAACCGTCACCGGTGACACCTGTGACAGCAGTCATGCTGGCAGAGATCTACGCCAAAGCCGGAGTTCCAGAGGGGCTCTTCAATGTGGTCCAGGGGGGCCAGGAAACTGGCAGCCTCCTGTGTCAACACCCTGATGTTGCTAAGGTGTCTTTTACTGGTAGTGTGCCCACAGGACAGAAAGTACGTGGTATTTTAGACTTCTTGTGACTAGGACATTTAATAGTAAACAATTGGGATTTGTAAATGTCATGGTAACGATGCCGACGTCTTCTTTATATGTCCTAATAACTGGATGTTTTTCCATTTGCTTTTGTGCCACAGATCATGGAGATGGCATCTAAGGGGGTCAAACCAGTGACTTTGGAGCTTGGAGGAAAATCTCCACTGCTCATATTTAAGGACAGTGATCTGGAGAACGCTGTGAGGGGAGCTCTCATGGCCAACTTCCTGTCTCAAGGCCAGGTAGTGTATCGTTTTTTTCATATGCTGTTATATTTTACCATCACTCTATGGTTCAGCTTGTGTCTGGTTCACATTGAAGCCTGTTACTTGATAGTGTTGTATATCTGCATCACAGGTGTGCAGCAATGGTACGAGGGTCTTTGTTCAGAAGGATATTCTGCCTGAGTTTGTGAAGGAGGTGGTAAAGAGGACCCAAGCGATCGAAATAGGAGACCCTCTTTTAGAGAGCACCAGAATGGGGGCACTGGTCAGCCAACCACATCTGGATAAAGTCCTGTCTTTTGTTGATCGAGCAAAAAAAGAGGTAAGACTCGTTCAAGGAGTTCTTTTTATTTTGTCAGGTGTACACCAGTAGGATTATGTGCAGGAACTTCAACTTGGATTGCATTGTTACTAGGGCGCTACAGTGTTGTGTGGGGGTGAA